TCCAGTAAAGATTTAAAGTCTCAGAAGCCTGTCCTATAAATCACAGTGATTCAGAATTGACTCATGGACAGTGGGATTAGTTTGGGTTTGGGCTTTACAGAGGTGTGGAGACCTGTTGGTGTAGTGGTTTTGTGTTGGGCTGCTAACCACAGGGTCAGGAGTTCAAAACCACCAGGGGCTCCTCAGGAGAAAGACAAGGCTTTTTTACTCCTATAGAGAGCTACAATCCTGGAAATGTACAGGGGCAGTCCTTCCCTGCCCTTTAGAGTTGCCATGAGTCAGCCTGGACTCTGGAGGGCAGGGAGAGGGTACATTGTGTACTCCCTAAGTGGTGCACACACCAATTAATGAGTTCAACAGCTCCCAGAAAGGTTGGGAGTTTGAGTCTGTCCAGAAGTGCCTCAGAACAAAGACCGGGAGATCTGCTTCCAGAATCCCCCACTGAAAAGCTACAAAGCACAGTTCTACGCTGACACACATGCAGTCGCCATGAATCAGAATAGAATTAACACAGAGCTACTAATAGTGTTACCACCCCTCAGTTTATAAAAGAGAAGGGGGGGCAGTGACACAACCAGGGACTTAGGGCACTCTATAAAGACAGCTGCCTGGCCAGAGCTCGATTAAGGGTGCAGCCAGAGGCAAGAGGCCTTTAGTTATGGCCCACATTGGCCAATCTGACTGGGCCCAGAGGCAAGGAATGAATCTGTAGAAGTAATGACAGTGGTCCAGCACAGCAAACAAATATACTCCCTGCCATCAAGTTGATTCTGACTTATAGCAACCTTTTAGAACCCTATAGGATACGGTAGATGTGTCCCTGTGAGTTTCTGATACCGTAGCTCTTTATTGGTGTAGGAGGTCCTGTCTTTCTCCTCGGGAGCAGCTGGTGTTTTCAAACTGCTGACCTTATGTTTTAGCAGCTCAACGCATCACCACTACCCCACCAGGGCTCCTTACACCAAAGGAAAGATTTCAGAAAAAGGTAAACTTCAAGAATAGTAATAGCTAATGGTAAGTTCGTATTTTCTCTGAACTAAGCACTATTCCAAATGTCTTATGTGAGCTGATATGTGTCTTACCTATATTAGTATTTTGATCCTCACAGCCATCCTGTAAGTTAGATGAGGTTTTAACCTCATTTTGTAGATGAGAAAATGAGTCACAGAGAGTTTTGTTAACTTGCCCCAAATCACACAGCTAAGTCTGTGAGGTAGCCAGAATTTAAACCTGGTATTCAGACTACAGGAAATGTTGGGGTGTACCTTAAGACCTGATGGGGGACTCACAGGCTCACCTGGGACTTCAAGGAGGACCCTGTCAGTAGCTCCTCCAAGGCTGTGTTAGTCTGGGTACTTTAGAGAAACAAATCCATAGAAACTCATGTATAAGAGAGAGTTTTATATAAAGGTTAAATGCACATCAAGAAAACATCCCAACCCAGTGCTGCCCAAGCCCACAAGTCCAACAGTAGCCCATATGCCCAACACTAATCCACAAAATCCTCCTCCATCTCAAAAAACAGATGCAATGATGCCGACTGCAGGAGAAAAACCAAGTCAGTGAATGTGTAAGCATCTCAGCACTGGCAGAGGTCTCCACACGGTGCTCCAGCACCCAGGGCTGCATCGGGGTTGGCCCATGTGGCTTCTTCTCAGGGATGTCTTGCAGGAAGTGAGTCTTGCAAGCAGAAGCAGGGAACTGGCTAAGGCAGCTGCACCCTGATCTAATCATCACAAAGCAAGAGACCCGAGAACTAGAAAGGCAAGGCTCACTGAGCCATTTCTCTCTCCATCCTTCAATTAACCCCACATGTGTTTATCAGCCAGGTTGGCACAATAAACTAACTACCTCACAGGCTCAGAGCTAGTGAAGCTGTCAGCAGAGTCAGGGCAACCAGGAGGGGCACAGCGTTTGGCTGGGCTAAAAGGCTCCAGGTCCACATGAGGATTTTGATGCCTCTATGGCAGCCAGTGGTCACAGAAACAACCTCGGGGGCACTGCTATACCACCAGGTGCTCTCCCACACCCACCAGTATGGTCTGCCCAGTCCTTTCCCCCATCCGCCAGACCCCCTGTCCAGTTTCTGACCCAGGAGAAAGCTACTTGGAGCAGCTTCCCCCACCATCTCTATTCATTCTGAATCACAGAAAACAGTACCTTTCAGCATCACTCTAGGCAGGGAGATGTGCCAAGCCCCACAGATCCATGCTCTCATTGATCCCCACAACAAACCTGCAGGGTAGCACTCATTGTCCCCAGGTCACAGATGGCATAGCAGAGGTTAAACTAGCTTAAGTGGCCAATTGAAGGTTACAGAGCGAGGAGACCCAGGAAAGAAGCCCAGGTCAGAAGTGATCTCAGAGGTCCTATATCACCGGATGACAGCAACTCCCTGTAGGCAAAGTCTCCTGCCCAGGCCCTGCACGTGGGGTTGGGGCTCATAAGGGCCCTGGGGATTGTGTGAGAGTTATGTTCATCACGCTTTTTGTCTGGCTTGGCTGAGGCCACTGACCTAGTCCTGGAGGAGAAAGACAAGGAGGAGGCCGTGAGAGTGCAGAAAGGCTACATCAGGGATCTCTGACCAGAAAAGGCTGGGGAAAAGATCACATATTCAGGACAGTGATTCTTATGTCTGGAATAGAGGAAGATCTTATGGATCTGGCCACAGAACTTATCTCTGGGAATGTGTTGCCATCTCTGGATTAGCATGTGTTTATGTTTGTATGTGTATATGTATGTGTGTGCATATGTATATATAAATCATGCAGCTGCATGCATTTCACTTTTTTTGCAAACAGAATAACCCTTTTAGGCGTGAGTCTCCCCTTCATGCTGTCCACATTATATTTAAAAGGTATGTCTTATGGTGCTGGTGAAGAACATTGAAAGTACCAAGGTCTGCCAAAAAGAGCAAATGAAACTGGCTTCGAAGAGGTACAGCCAGAATGCTCCTTAAAAGTGAAGAGGGTAATAAGACTTGGGCTCACATGCTTTGGACATGTGGTCAGGAGGGACCAGTCCCTGTGGAGTAGGACAGCATGCTCAGTCAAGTAGAAGGCCAATGAGACAGAGGCAGCCTCAAAGAAACCCATGGTTTGACGCCATGGCTGCAGCAGTGGGCTCACACGCGGCAAGGATGATGGGAATGGCTGAGGACCTGGCAGGGTCTCCCTCTGTTCTACATAGTAGGGTCACCAAGAATCGGAGCCAATGACAGCTCACATCTGTCTACCTCATCCTACAGCTGTCTACGTATACACACAAATACATAGGCATTCCTCAGTTGTCCAACTCAATTCATTCCTGAGTCATGTTCAAAAGCCCCAAATTTTGAAAACTGAACATATTTTCCCACAAGAAATCATGGAAAACCAAATAATTCGTTCTGAGGCCTAAAAATTACACTTATCAATTCATTTTTCCAGGACTTTAACACAAAGCTAACAGTCCTAGGTTGTGGAACTATATGTTGAAACAATAAATACAGTACATTAAATATCAAAGCACACTCCATTAAATAAAACATACTATTTTGTGCAAATAAAGTGCAAAAAATAGAGTACAATGATGAATGCTTTAACACAGAGCACTGTATGCTGTGTGTTATGAATGAAGCATCACCCCTTTGTGTTCACGGTGAGACTCAACTCGTCATCACTCACTCTTGTTTTCTTTCAAGTCAGATTAGCAAGGTTATGAACACTGCGAAGATTTTTTTTAACTTCCCTGTTCAAGCAGGGAAAGTTCGAGGTTGGAGCCGTGGGGCCATTCAACAATCAAAGTCTCACTGTCCTTACATCCTGAGGGGTTGCAGTCTGTTAGTGGGGGCTCGCTCATCTGGTGTAATAATGCGGAACAGCTTTCAGTACGGCTTCCACACTAAGATGCACTAGGAAGGCCTGAAGATCTTCTGGAAATCAACGAGTGGAAGCCCCCGGTTCAATACACAGCCAGTCACAAGGAGGGTGCTTCGTTCCAAAGCACAGGGCGGCACATTCATTATGGGCCAACTCGATCGCACCTAAAAGCAACAGCCATCAACATCAATACTGTGAGTTGCCACTTACCATGCCTTAGGTATTGTTTTAAATCCCAGAGACACAGTGTGGGGTGAATCAAAATCCCTACCCTTCATGGAGTTTATGTTCTGGCAGAAGAGATAAGACTTGGGATAAAAGTGCAATACAATGTCAGCTGCTCATGAGGAACCAGAGGAGGGGATCAAGAGTGTTGGGAGGTGCGTTCCATTTAATTTGCATGGTCAGGAAGCCTAAGTGCAAAGGTGACCTTTGAGAAAAGGCTTGAAGAAAGGTGAGGGAGCTGCTGCCACTTGGACCTCTGGGAGGAAGCGTCCCAGACAGAGGGAGCAGCCAGCACGAGGGCCCTGCAGCACAGCAGTGAGGCTGGGTCACTGTGGCTAGGGGGAATGGAGAAGGCGGGCAGGATGGGGAAGGAAGCCGGAGGCTGATCCCGTCGGCCCTTGCCAGCCTTTGCAGGCCCTTGGGTTTGTCCTGAGACAGAGATGGCAAACCACTGAAGGGATTAATCACTCTTTCTCTTACTACTTCCCTGTTCTAAGTGCTTCTCAATTAGAGAACCATCTCCCATGTCATAGCTAAAGAACAGGGTGGCGTCTGACACATCTCTGTAGTCTCTGGACACAGCACAGCACTTCATTAATGTTGGTTGAATGGAACTTGAACCAAATGCAGGGAGTGGAGGACAGGTGCCTGGAAACCCTGAGCCAGACAGTTCATTAGTTGGTATCTATGCTGTGAGTTCCAAGGATGCTTTTGGCTACTGCACCAGCAGGTAGAGGTACTGAAATCTTTTAGCGTCAAGTAATCTCAAGGAACCAATGGGGAGCTGTTAAGGGTGCAAGGGGGTGTCTGCTGCTCCCTTGACGTCAGGTGTTTTTGCTGCTGGGACTGCTTGCTGGCTCCCCACACTGCACCTGGCCCTGCTCACTAACTGAGGTGTGGCTTTGTCTTGCACAGGCATGCCCGTGGTCCTGTCACAAGAGGTGGAGTCTGTTCTTGTGGGTGCTGCTATTCTGGGTGCCTGTGCCTCCGGGGATTTCGCTTCTGTACAGGTATGTGAGGACTCGGGCAGGCGGCGCCCCTCCCCTGTCTGAGGTTGTCCTTTCTCTTGACAGCAGCTTACATCTTGCAAAACACACACAGGATATAATTAAGAAATGATAGGTTCCAGCCAGGGAAAGCACAGACGCTTCTAGTCCCAGAAATATGTATTGCCTTTTTCATCTCGCTCGGCTGCTGTTGGTCTTGGTGGTTCTGTTTTTCTGCTCCCTCTTTCTGTCCCAGTTGAAAATATCTGGTGAATTATTTCTTTTCCATTTCCCCATTGACCTTTTGTGTTTTGTTTCTTTCAGCAAAGTAAAGCAGGTAAGGCCCGCAACAAAAGGTTTTCACCTCGCTATCACATTTCTATTTGCTTCTGTTGCCCCCCACCACCATCATTTTGCAAAATGAGGTCTCTTATCAGCAAGTGGCACACATGAAAATGTTCGTTTTTGAGTTTGCTTTCTTTTGAAGAGGAATTAAAAGAGAAAATAAGGAACAGAGATATAGGAAGAAGGAAATAATTTGGTGGCTGTGATTGAGCATATAATCTGGCTCTGAACTTCCTGGCAGCCAAGACAAAAAGGAACACTGGATAAATTGCGTAATTCTTATTTTCAGAAAGAGGAAGCATACCGGTGCTTTTTTTTTCGGTTTGGTTTTTGTGAGAAGTAAACTTTTCCGATCCTCAGATTGCAAGCCAGTTCATACATGGGCTTTGGAGGGAGGCTTTGAGGAGTAAGATAGCTGTATTCACAGGTTGGCAGAAAAGCAGGCAGGCAGCATAGTGGGCAGGTTCTGGATTCAGATAGCCCTGGGTTCAATTGCTCATTCATAAATGAGCGTGAGGTCCAAAGAAATGAACGCCTTTGTCTAAGTTGCGGCAGCTAACAAATGCCTAACCAAAGCCAATGCCTTCTAGTTGCTTTTGACTCAGGGCGAGCCTATGGGGGTTCCTAGGGGGTATGACTGTTCCATAGGGTTTCTGAGATTTCAAATCTTTACAGAAGCAGATTGCCTCCTTTTCCTCCCTCGACGCAGCTGGCAGATTCAAACTACTGACCTTTCAGTTAGCAAGCCATGTTTAACCTGTGCCATCAGATGGAAAACCTGGCCCCTAAGTTTGGGATGAGACCTTAAAAGCTGTTCTTTTAGCTGAGGTTCAAAGGCTACATGACTAGGTGAGACTTAGAAACCAGGTTTTCCACCGCTGGCCCTGGGTTTAGAGTTGTATGTACTATGACCCTTTGTTATGTACCAGAAAGGATCTCTGGGTGATGTGTATGATTTGCATTCAACTATAGACCTAAAGCTGGGCAGTTTGAAGCCACCCAGCTGTCGTGATGACAGCCAGGCACACCCAGTGGCACAGTTCGGCTCTGTAGCACCTGAGTCAGAGTCCATTAGATGCCATCCCAAGGGTTGAGTTTTGTACGAGCCAGGCACTGTTCCAGGTGCTTTCCATGTACTCTCCCGGCCACCTGGCATAACCTTGAGTGGGCAGCCGACATTGGGCAACAGAGATTCAGCAAGATTAAAGGGTACTCTGTTAGAAATGGACAGAAGGAAAAACCTGATTTCAAAATCTTCGCGTCGCTTAGGTCACTGCATGACCTAAGCTCTGGAGTTGATGCCGGTGAACGATCTCTTCTCAGGTATGAAACCCACTCGTGCATGATGATAGATTTTAGCCACCATTGGACACAGAGGTGGTGGAGATGAAGTCTCTATGGTTCCTGGCTACTCTGGTATTGTCTAAGAAACATCACGTGGAGATGCTTATTTATTGTTGAGAAGTTAATGACCTCTCCGTTATTCTTTTAATGCCTCAGCTTGTCATGTGTTCTCACTAGATGCCTGGCCCTTTCTGGGATAAATTAGAATAGCTACAGGAAAACAGCAGGGATGCTGACCTAGACCCTGTGTGTGTCACCTCCTGTGATCTTGACAATCTCCCTGTGGAACAGATATTTTTATCTTCATATTATATACGAGAAAACCACGGTTCTGAGAGGTTGTAAGTAATTCACCCCTGGCGACACAGTAAGGGGAGAACCAGAATGAAAAGAAATGCTCTCTGGGGCCGAGTCTCATTAGTTTTTAAATGTTTGAGTTTTCATTTTCCTCCCTAAAAATATTTTTTTGACTGCCGACGTGTCCAAAGGTGTCTTTTCTGTAAGGAAATTCCATCTGTCACCAACCAGGAGCCGGCCTGCAGATGAGTGAGACATAGTAGTAGGACAATCATACTGGGAGGTCTGGCACTTCACCGAGAGCTTACAGAATCGAGTTGCTACCTCCAAGGGGATTCCACTCAGCCAGTCTGCTACATGGAACTGGGGCTTAACTCCATACTGACATCATTGCTACATGAGATTGATTCCATTCCAGAGGATTCATTGGCAAAGATTTGATTGATCAGCTATTGGAATTAGTGACTTGAGCAGTATCGGGGCTCAGAGCACTTTAAAATACAAGCCCTCGCCTCCTATTGAGTCCAAGGAAGTGAGTGCCTCTTCTGGTTGTTTTCAGGAGACAGTGCAAATCCTTGTGCAGCACCTAGGGGCCCCTCAGAAGACAGCCCCATGAGTGGCTTCCAAAGATCACAGCCTCGCAAACCCCACTCACAGTTCTACCCAGCATAAACAGGGTGCCATTAGTTGGAAGTAGTTCCACTGATGGAAGGGAATCCCTCCAGCTGAGAGGCCTGGGAGCAGGTCTATTATCTCTGTGCCTCCGGGAATTCAGACTCAGCGCCAACTTCTATTGCTTGTTTTAGTTTGTTTTGTTGCTTTTAAAAGAAAGTTAGAATTAGAATAATAGTCACTCATGGGAGAATGTTGAAAAGAGGAGTCTTTGAAAAACTCCATTGACCTTCTTAACCCTCTTTAACTGGTATGTCAAGAACGTTTCCATGATTATGTTTGGAAATACATTGCAAATCCAATTGTGTGTAGGCTTGACTCCATAAGCCCCTCGCTGAAGAAGAATCCCCCTGGTCTGAGGACCAACTCTTCTGGTGGGTTGAGATGAAGCAGAATTGTATTTTATATATTTCAACCTGAGCTTCAACACACAGTCTTTCCACTGACCTTGAAAGATCCTAGGCTGGTCTGTAGGGTGCCTGCCACTCCTTTCTTTCAGAAAGCTGAGCACTCCCTGCTAGTATCTCCATGATTTCAATAGACCAGAAGTTTTCTCTTTCACAGACCAACATGGGGGGTGGGGTGGGGGGTGGGGTGGAAGATTTCACTTCTTACTCAGAAGGGCATGCTTCAGTAGACTTGGCTAGAACCATCTCTTCAGATGAAGGAGAGGCTGGGAGAATCCAAAGGTTGCATGGTCACCAGGGACTGTGCTACTGACAGCAAAGAGATTTTCAGGCCTGGGAAGACAAACCTTACCAATTTCCTAGACTCAAGAGTAGTCTTGAGTCTCCTTTGGTGACACAAATGAATCAGAAGTACTCACAGCTGCGACTGCATTTACAAATTTCTAAGTGGAGGGGAAGTACAGTTGATAGAATTTTTTTTTGATGGGATGCTAATGACCTGGGATTGGATCGGCACATGGGATGGACAAGAATTGGGGGCTGACTCTACACTAGTTAAGAATAGCAACAATTAATGAGAGAGGTCAGTTGAGTATCAGGGCCAATTCTATGCCAAAATTTGAAACATGCTGGCAACCTCTAGCTTCCACTGCCTCTTTTATCCATTTATATTCTCATTTTCATACTCCCTCTCCCTCTCTAGCCTCCTGCCTGCTTTTCCTTTAGACATCTAAAGCCTTCTTACTCTTCTTTCCAAATTAGGATGGTCTCACCAATGGTACTGATACAGCTATCCACACTAAGGGATATCATGGCTGATAAGAGCTTAAAGAAATGTCTCACTCCTTTTTGTCATTTGGAAAATTGTCCCCAGTAGTGTTTGACCTCCTTGAGGACAATTACCTTGTCATAATCATCTTCACATCTATCAAATACTGTAGGGCCCAAACAATGTTTCATGAATAAAATGGAATCAGACTACAGAGATGCTTCTCTCATGGAAGAAATGTACCTGTAGATTAGATGCGAAAGCATGCATTGGGGGATGGAAAGTTGTCTTTCTACTGATCATTTATCTGTGTGTTTGTGGAATCGTTATAATCTTCTCCTCAGTGGCCTTTCTACTGACCACTCCCCGATTCAGAGACCTCCCATCATCCCCTCTGTCGTCAGTACATTGAATATCTCGGGGGGAAAAAATCATTATAAGTAGCTGTTGAGGATGTCTTATAACATATCCATAGACTTCTAGACCTGGCAAAGTTAACAAACAAGGGGAAAAGATGAAATACCAATATGTTTATGTTTGATAAGGAGCCCGGGGTAGTGAAAATGGTTAATGTGCTCAACTGCTGAGGCTGGAGGTTTGAGTTCACCCAGAGGAGCCTCAGAAGAGAAGCTGCCAACACACACACACACACACACACACACACACACACACACACACACGCACACACAGACTCACCTTGGACATCCCTTTGGAGCAGTTCTCTGTGACCCGCGTGAGGTCACCATGAGTTGGATTGGACTGCCCAACCATTGGTTTTTACTGATGTGTTTTCCAAGCACAGGAGTAGGAGCTCTGTAATGTTTTAAGAAATGTAAAGTGGAGCTAACACCAATAACCAGCCGCAAAACATTAGAGGAGCAAACCACGCAACGGAGATGTCAAAAAAGCTTTCCATCCTCTGCTTCCGCGGACCCCACCCAGGTGTCATTAGCTTTGTTAAGAGGTAGTTGTTTTTGTTGTAACTACACTACTTATATGAAAAAAAGTTCATTCTAACACTGCTATTAATCTTAACCTTCTCCCACAAAAAAAAAAAAGGGAGAGAAAACAGAAGCAAAAAACATCAAAAGGGGATATAGATCAAAATGAATCCAGTAATCATTTTAAGCTGAGTGCCAATGTAAAGAAAATAAGCCCTTGAAATCAACCAATTCATTAAAAACCTTCCT